GTTTGTTCTTGTTTTGCAAGAACGTAGCTCTAGTGAGGAGAGCATGGCATTAGGGATGAGTAGATATGTATTCTTCTCTTAGCTCAGCCCTCCTCTGAAAATGGGGGATTCCTTTTTCCTCCTAAGCTCATTTTAAAAAAAAAAGAGGGCTGGACACACTCCATCTGCTGCTCTGTAACATGGGACCAACAAGCTGGGGGGCTCTGACTGCAGCGGGATGGGAGGTAGTTGAGAAGTTTGGTGCTCAGGCAGCTGGTTTGCTGGTTCCTAGCCCTGCACCCTCCTTCCAGTATTAATGCAAGAGTATTGTAAGTGTCTTCCACATGCCCCACTACTTTCTGGGAGCTTTGGAGTGACTTTGCCTGCCCCTTTCGGTTACCTACTGCACCCATTTGTAGAGAAAGCATGTTATTAATGCAAGATCATTCTTGATGTTTCATTTTTTTTTATTCTTTTGTTGCTTTGTATTTTCCAGCAATGCAAGAGGAAGCACTGAAGCTGGTTCTGCTGGCTCTGGAAGATGGATCTGCTTTGTCACGAAAGGTCTTGGTTCTCTTTGTGGTGCAGAGATTGGAGCCACGATTTCCTCAAGCTTCTAAAACCAGCATTGGGCATGTTGTCCAGCTTCTTTACAGAGCCTCCTGCTTCAAGGTATGAAGTAAACCCTGCTTGGAGGTTCCACAACACAAGGAAGATTTACTTGTTGTACCCCCAGAAAATGCTCAAAGACCTCATTAAATTTGGAACCACACACCAATCTGTCATGCAAATAAAGAAGGCTTTTGTTTGCTTGCTTCTTTGAATTTATAGTTATGCTATACCATTAGTTATCAGTGGTTATTCATTATCAGTTGTTCAAGCTGGACGGGCATATCGAGTGGGGTCCCGCAGGGATCATTCCTGGATCCGGTTCTGTTCAATATATTCATAAATGATGTAGATAATGGCAGAGCGAGTACACTAATAAAGTGTGCAGACAATACCAAGCTGGGAGGGGTTGCAAGTGCTTTGGATTAAAATTCAAAATGATCTGGAGAAATGGTCTGAAGTAAATAGGATGAAATTCAATACGGACAAATGCAAAGTACTCCACTGAGGAAGGAACAATCAATTTCCCAGATACAAAATGGGAAATGACTGCCTGGGAAGGAGTACTGTGGAGAGGGATCTAGGGGTTATAGTGGATAACAAGCTAAATATGAGTCAACAGTATTGCGGGCGCGTGCACACCAAAAAAAAAAAAATCAAACATCATTCTGGGATGTATTAGCAGGAGTGTTGTAAGCAAGACACAGGAAGTAATTCTTCCATTCTACTCTGCACTGGTAAGGCCTCAGTTGGAGTATTGTGTCCAGTTCTGGGTGCCACACTTTAGGAAAGATGTGGACAAATTGGAGAAAATCCAGACAAGGGTAGTAAAAACTATTAAAGATCTAGAAAACATGACCTATCAGGGAAGATTGAAAAGAATGTTTGGGTTTTTTTTAGTCTGGAGAAGAAGAGTAAGGTGGGACATAAGTTTTCAAGTACATAAAAGGTTGTTACAAGGAGGAGGGTGAAAAATTGTTCTCCTTTAATCTCTGAGGATAAAACAAGAAGTAGTGGGCTTAAATTGCAGCAAGGGCGGTTTAAATTGGACATTAGGGAAAAACTTCCTAACTGTCAGGATGGTTAACCATGGGAACAAATTGCCTAGGTAGGTTGGGGAATCTCTCATTGGAGATTTTTAAGAACAGGTTAGACAAAATCTTGTTAGGAATTATCTATTTATGACATAGTTCTGCCTTGAGTGCAGGGGACTGGATTAGATGACCTATTGAGGTCCATTTCAGGTCTACGCTTCTATGATTCTATGATTAAATGTATAAGACACTTGTATTTTTAGAATGGGTCTCATTTGTGAAGTCCCAAATGTTCAGAGTTTTCACAGAAAGGGACTTTGGCTGTAATTTGGTTTTAAGTTGCAAGTGAAATGCAAGTTTGGGCTCAGACTAGGTCATAGTGGATGAACAGTACCAAATTCACCAAACAAATTAGCTTTATTTTCTGTCTGCTTAGGAGAGACTTGCTGGTAGAATACCCTAGGATATGTTGACTGAGTTGTATGTATGGTGGTTAGGGTTGAAATAGCGTGGGGTGCTGCACATCAAGGATGAGATTCATTGGCACAGCTGCATGAGGGAAGCCTATGCTGTTGCTGACTCCATGTTTTTATAGTATGTCCATTCTTCTTTGCACAAAAATTCCCCAAAATGAAGTTACAGTGAAAAGAGACTAAACTGAAATTATATTGTGTTGTTGCTGCTGGTGAGATTCCCAAGATGAAGTGAAGGAACTCCGGCACCATCGTGATGGGTACCAGTGTAAAAAATCTAGAATGCAACATTTCTCTCTCTAACATCTGGAATCAGGCTTCAAGTCAATGATGTTCCATACATCTGGGTTAATGTATTCCATAGCATTTCAATATATGAATATAGGAACGCTTATCCCTTATTACAGTCAGGAGGAACCATTCTCATTTGTTGGTGTTTACTATGTAGTATCGTGATAGTAATTAATACCCTCTGGGGAGGAGGGAACTTAGTACTAATCCAAGAATTTATTTGCTCCAAGGTGGCACTGCCATCTGATTTATCCCTGGCTCATTGTGATGGGCAACTTTCTCCCCATCAGGTGACTAAACGTGATGAGGACTCCTCCCTGATGCAGTTGAAGGAGGAGTTCCGTACCTATGAAGCTCTGCGAAGGGAACATGATTCCCAGATTGTGCAGATTGCCATGGAAGCAGGTTTACGCATTGCACCGGATCAGTGGTCCTCGCTGCTATACGGAGATCAGTCCCACAAATCCCACATGCAGTCCATCATTGACAAGGTAAAGCCACCTCAAATCAGCCCAACCATCTGTTCTCTTTCCCAGCTCTTTTGTAACCTAATACTAGTCGTGAGTCAATAAAGGGCTAGTCTACATTTGAAATGTTAGTGGTGCAACTGGAGAGCTTCAGTGTAACTATTCACTACGGTGATGGGAGGCGTTCTCCCATCATCCTAGTTAATCCACTTCCCATAGAGGTGGTAGCTAGGAAGAATTCTTATTACTGTTACCTTGTCGTCCGCCCCCCACCTTCCTTTCTTTTCTTTATTACACTTGTGTTAAATTAGGTTGAAAACTTCTTGGTCCAGAGGCCAAAGAGAGCTTTGGGCCTTTAGTAGAGGTCTAGCACAATGGAGCTCCAATTCTTGTTGGTGTCACTGGATACTACTGGAATATAAATGACTTAGAACATCCAGGGAAAACCCAAGGCTCTGGTGTATCTTTGCTTGAGGTGTAGTCTTGCATAGAAAAGGGGAGTTCCCTTTTGGAGCTAAGAAAAAGTGAGCACATGGTGAACGAAATCATCTTGGGTGAAAATGAAATGAAACAATTGGAAAGATGACTCTGTGACCTACTGGAGCAGCCTGCAGAAGCAGTGATGGCTGCCTTGCTTGTAGAAAGTTAATTGTTACAATTTTTTAAGTTGCAGACCCCAGCCTCATTTGCACAGAGTGTTCAAGAACTAACCATTGCTCTCCAGAGGACTGGAGACCCAGCCAACCTGAACCGGCTTCGACCTCACCTAGAGCTCTTGGCAAATATTGACCCTAGTCCAGGTAAACCTGTGAACATCCTGTAAAGTCATAGTAGTGTCTGCTTTAACAGAATGGCCTTACTGTATTAGCAGTTTAATCAAAAACTGTGTCTCTTGAATATTCTCTACAGTGGTAGGTTCTCAGAATTTTGGACTTCACACATCTTTTTTTAATCAGAAAGCATTTTCCATGAAAAACTTATTGAGGAATCTTAATCCTGATACTCTGGAACTACATAGAGTAGGAAAAGGTCAGGCTAGATAGACAAGCAATTCGTTTATTGTGTGAAGTGTCATGCCATTTTGCTGGCTACTCAGAAATTTTGAATGACTGTTGAAGTCCGCTAAGATCACAGAATGGGAGAGGAACCATGCAGGGGGAAGGAAGTGGGGAGAAAGAAAGTAGGGACTGGGAAGGGGAATCCAAGTTGTGGGGAAGGAAGAAGAAAAGGGAGATTGGAGAGGAAACTTGAGGGGAAGGCGGCAGGGGGGGAGTAAGTATTGGAGAGGAGAAAATAGATGGTAAAGGGTAGGTGGATACCTGAGAGGGGAACCTAAGCTCATATGGCTGAAGACTGCTCTTTACCCACCTGTAAAATAAAATGTATAGCCTTAAATGAAATCTTCTCCCCAGTGGTGAGTGGGAAGCTTTCCCTGGTGAGTGGGAAGGCCTAAGCTATCTATTACTGCAGGAAGTGATAAGGGGTTTTGGTTGTTTGTAAAGTTGACTCTTATGGTTGGTCCATATTTGGAAAGTTCTTTTTGCAATCAGTGCTTAGCAGCCAAAAATGCAGTGCTTTCTTCCTGAATCTGCCAAAGAGCTCTGCTGCTGCTGTTTACACCTGTGGGAAAGAAGAGTAGAGTGAATTTGACAGCATTGCTGCTATTCAATCCCTGGCAGCGCTGGAACTATCAAGTACCATGGCAGTGTTCTGGGCAGTGACAGTTGCTGCTACTTGAGAAAACTAAGACACGGAAGAGAGAATTAAGGAGAGAATAACAAAATAACACAAGGTGACTGCAGGAATATTGGTCATGGAAATCCTCCCCTTTAAAGTACCTAGGTGGAGTGGGAGGGAGAATATCAGATCTTCCCCCTGCCTACTTCCTACTCTGGTGCCGGGAGAAAGGAAGAAATCTTTTTCACTTTCTGGAACTACAGGAGGGCAGAACTTCAAATGTATCAATTCCATCTTCTATAATCAGCCTCTGTCTAGTAGGTGTGATCTGTGCCCCTCCCTTTCCCCAGCAGATGAGTCTTCAATGGATCTAGACGTCTCATCTTGATGATGTGCCTGTACCCAACTTACATTTTTCATAAATATACTAGCTAGAAGGTGTCTGATAAATTAAAGATTTAATGGGTGTAATGACGTTTAACTATGTTACAAGATTTTGAGACTCCCTGTATGTAGAGCATTTTGAGATCCACTGATTCAAGGCGTGTGCGTGTGTGTGTGTGTGTGTGTGCGCCCAGTGGTATTATCTTCTGTTGGATTAGATTAAATAACTGGAAGAAAAATCAACCAGATAAAAAAATAAATATCTATTCTGGCTGATGGCCCTATTGTTACTGATTCTGTCATGTATTAAATAGTGGTTGATTTGTGGAGTTGTATTGTTTCACATTGGGGGAGGGGGAGAATAACTTGTGGTGGTTTGCAATGAGTGCCCCTCTAGATGATCTAGGACAGGGTTCCCAAACTGCAGTAAGTGTATCCCGGGGGGTTTGTGAGACATCGGGGGGGGGGGGGGGGGGGGGGCAGATGCAGGAAAAACTATGTAATGGTGGATTTTTTAATTTATTAACTTACTGCATTTTCATAATAGGATACTAAGATGAAGCTTTAAAATTGTGGGAATTTTATATAAAATACAATATAGTAGAACCTGAGTTATGAACACGGGAAATGGAGGTTGTTCGTATCTCTGAAATGTTCATAACTCTGATCGAAAAGTTGTTCTTTCAAAAGTTTTACAACAGAACATTGACTTAATACAGCTTTGAAACTTTACTATGCAGAAGAAAAATGCTGCTTTTAACCATCTTAATTTAAGTGATACAAGCACAGAAAGTTTCCTTACCTTGTCAGATCTTTTTTAACTTTCCCTTTATTTTTTAGTAGTTTACGTTTAACACATTACTGTACTGTTTGCTATTTTTTTTCCGTCTCTGCTGCTGCCTGATTGCATACTTTCAATTCCAAATGAGGTGTATGTTGACTGGTCAGTTCGTAATTCTGCTGTTCATAACTCTGAGGTTCTGCTGTAGTTAATTTACTTCAAGATGTACCAATGAGAACGCTGATGTACAGAGCCCGCACCTCCATTCACCGTACAGCGCGGGTTCAGTTGCCCAGCAACTGTCCAGTCTATGTAATGGTGGAAATCAGAACTTAATCAGGGTGTTTTGTTTCGGTGTTTTTTCTGGTTGTATACGTTGCACTATAACTATATTTGTATGTAACAGTGAAATATGGACAAATGGCTAAAGAGCAGTAGTGTTAAGAATACAAAATATCCGTGATGAGAAGGGTAGGAGTATGCGGGCAGCTGGTAGATCTAGAAGGGTGTACTCAATAAGAAAAGTTTGGGAACCTCTGAGCTAGGGTAATGTTGATGGACTTTGTAGAGAATATTGCCTAAAATAATGTCTGTGTGATATAGGGCCTTGCAGAGGTATCATGCAGCTGGAGGACAGGGCCTGTCGTGCAGAAAAGACCCTGCTTCCAAAAACAATCCAGCAAACACTAATGTACGTCAGAGCTGTTCTGTCAGAGTTAGATATATTAAACCAATATGTTTTTGGTGCAGCATTGTACAAAAGAGTGGTGTGAAAACAAAGAATTTGATAATATTTTCTGTGCAAAAGACTTGTGCACTTGTCAAGTTTCTATAATACTGTCCAAATCAAAATATGTGCAGTCATTTTGCTTGTCAGTCTCTTGAAGCTGAACTAGGAACTAAAGCACCAGTGTTTCCTGAATTTTTTTCAAATGTGCCAGATACTGATTTACATAGCTTGTTGTGCAGCTCAATTCTCTGACATTGTAATTTTCGTTCTTTAAATGATCAATACTGAGACTGTGAGGGTGTTGATGATGATTCCTGGCAAGGCACTCCTTGAGGCTTGCTACTTAGATTTTTGTGTGTTTGGGGTTTTTTAACATTGAAATATTCTTGATAACCAGTCATGGAAACACCTTAATTTTAATTGTAAGAAATTTTCTGTTTCTTGTGAATGCTGCAGATGCCCCACCCCCAACATGGGAACAACTAGAAAATGGATTAGTTGCTGTGAGGACAGTGGTACATGGACTAGTTGATTACATCCAGAATCACAGCAAGAAAGGAACAGATCAGCAGCAGGTAAAGACTGGAGCATTAGGAATCTGGGAAACTATTAGCCTCTACACTTTGTTTGGAGCAAGTGGCATGGATTTATTTGTATGTCAATTCGGGAGACCTGGCTTCAAATATACTTCAATAAAACTAGTTTGGGAGTCTCACTGTAGTGCCTAGTGAGTATTCTCCTTAGTAGGCAATCATCTCACACATCTTTGCATAGTAGATCAGGAAGAAGAGAAGAAAATCTAATCCATCTGAAGCTACAGGGAAATCAATAGGCAAACCCCTTTCCAAAAAAATCTTTGTGCCAATGTTGCTTTTTTTAAAAACTGGCATATTTCACACATGATATGGCACCTTTTCAGGGACGCAATACCTGTACTTATTGCTTGTAATGGTTCTGTAAAGCTTAAACACTTGGAACTCGGTGAAGTGCTATTATAAATCCCCAAACTGAAAACCTTTGTTTCAAGAACTAATTGAGGTAGCTAAAGAATGTTACCTATCACATAATTTACCAAACCTAGTAGTCTTTAAAGCAAGGAGCTGCAAAGGGGATGAAAATTTGCATTAGAATGGGATTGTAGCTGCAGCCTTAATGTGTGGAAGCCATCACCTATCCATAGTTTTTGTGCACAGCTGGGACAAGAAACCAAATCCTCCTCCTCCTCCCAAAAAACAGGTCTGTGCCACTTAGCTAGCAGAGCTCTGTTTGCTCATCTCTGATAGAAATTTCCTTCCTTTTTTTCTTATGTGCAACTGGCCAGTAGAGGGCAACATGCTAACATACACAATGCACTATTCAGTCCCCATTGAAGTAAATAGTGGTGATGGGGAAATGCAAAATCCCACTGACCTCCATGGACCAAGATTGGCTCCCAAAATGTTCACACACAAAAATTTTAATTTTATTTATCAACTACTATGTTGTTCAGATACTGCCAGCACAGAAATTTTCAATGAGAGGTAACTAATATGTGAAGTTCAAAGGGGGTAGTAATAGGCCATTTTGAGATGGAGGGAGAGTAAAGTAAAGTGTTTAACTGGTGTAATTTCAAGTATGGGATAACTTGTTAATCTGTAACTCAAAAACAGCTTGATGAATTTTCTGCAGGCTTTGAAGAACCCTTTTCCTTTGTCTGCTAAGTAAAAATGGCCATTTTAGGCTAACTCAGATTAATGTAGATTAACATGAAAATCAATTAGGTATTTGGGTATAGGTGTTAATTTAGCAAGTTTTCCGCCCTCAATGTGAAATTCTGACTTGCTTCAGTGATGGTAACTTCCATAGTACCTTATGGTGTTTTAGCCCCAACACTCAATCTGTGATTACTAAGTGGTTTTTTTTATAATGTGAAAAGAGACACCAAGCTGCTTTCAGAACTGCCAGTAATGTTTTGTCCCCACTTACTTGTTATCTGAACCCAGAGGCTGTTCCAATCCAGCCTCAATAAATAGTTTTGCTTATGTAATCACTGATATGGATGAGTCATTTAAATCTGTCACTGGATCTGCTGACATAGTACCTAATTCTGAGTCCAGTGTACAGTTGTATCAAATTATCATACACACAACTCCTTCAATTGCTCATCTCGCCTACGGTCGTCTCTGAATAAAGTTTGTCAATAATTATTCACTTTGAACATCCTATTTTATTGAGAGCATGGTAGTCTAAAGTACCCTCTTGGTTAATTACGTGCATTAATTTATACTCGAGTGCCTTATTTTGTTGTCTTTACTCTTCATAGCCTCCTCAACACAGCAAGTATAAGACATACATGTGCCGAGACATGAAGCAGAGAGGAGGGTGTCCTCGTGGAGCCAGCTGCACCTTCGCACATTCGCAGGAGGAATTAGAAAAGTAAGAGTGCCTTGTATAGTGAAAACCTTTCCTTGCCTTTTCCCCCCTGCCATTTGCAATGGAAGCCATTTATCAGAATTTTGAGAATGAGGAAGGGGGTGGGTGGGTGTGTTCTACCAGTTAAGAAGTTTTTCTGGTGCTTTCTTAAACTCTCAATCAACAGGCTTTCTTTTAAGATTTTGAGTTTGACATATACATAGTTCTGAATGTAGAATTCAGGCTTTGCCTTGTTTGGCCGTAATAAAGCTATGAACAGTTGAAAATCATGTAGCAAGCATACATAGTGCATTGTTTTTGTTCCTGATTTTAAACATACTTCCCAAGTGTGCTGCTTTGACTGTTCCCAAGTGTTTTTCTCGTTACCTCAATTTTATAATCAGGTGAGAGAGGTAGGTTGGAGCTGGTAATTTTTCAAATCTTCAGCACTTTCTTGGTCTTGTACCTCAAGCCTTTACACCACCTTGAAGAGCTTGAAACTCAGGGTTAACCCTGCTCAGAGTTCTCTTCTTGCAACAGTAACTCTTTTGAACTTGTCATTTACACAATGGCTTATAAACCATGAAAGCTAATGTTACAACATAATGAAATGCCATCTGTGCAAGTGAATCCTGGGATAAATAAATTATAGAAGCTGTAGTTTTAGAGAGAGCTGAATATTTGAAAGAGCAGAATTGTGTCTGTCTGGATTTTTTTTTTTTTCCACTTTTTAAAAGCTAAGCAGCGGTGATGCTTTTAAAGAAGATTAGAATTTCATTCTGTAGTTCAAAATTTATATTTTATATGGCTTATAATTTCTCAAAATTTTTGCATTTTGGGCTGAAATTACTCATGAGTGTTCTCAGCTAAAGGTTACCTTTTTTAACTTGGAAGAATACCAATTCAGATATTCAGAAATGTTACTTCATGGTCATGTTTTAATTTTCTCTTTTAAAATTAAAGAGAAAAAACCAGTGCCACATTTTGATTGTATAAAATTAATGAACCGCAATTGTGCCCTCTTATACATTAGAATAAGATCTCTTGGGAGGGGATGCTTTACGGCTTGATAGAGTACTGTACTCATAGTTGGGAACATAATTATCGTTTGTCTTCAATTGTGTTCTTCTCTACTCCTAACCATGGCTCTGCCTGTCATCCTCACAGGTGGTCATGGTATATAGATGAACTTTGATAGATGAAACAGGGAAGTGGCTGAAGTACCGGATGTAGATATCTCATGTAGTTTGATCAGCTATGACACACAATTAGTAAAAGTCCTATGCCATCATTGTGATGGAAACGGTTTTCTTTTCCTTCACTGTGGTGTGCATAAAGTACTGATTGGAAAAGCTGTTCTAGACAGATGGTATTCTGGTGAATATAGGTTACCTCAGCTCTGAAAGAGTTGAGTATATGTGCTGTTTTTTCCAACTGTTTTGAAGATGAGGTCTATTGTATCCAGACTCAATTGGCAGCTTCAGTGGCAGTAGTTCTGTTTTGGGAGGGGGAAAATGTCATCTCATCTTGAGTTTCAAATTGTGTGGTCACTGAAGTTCTAAAGGTGGCTGAATAACTTTGAGCTGTGTTTCTGATCTGTGCCTTTCCCTTCTGCTGAACTCCAATGAAGAGCCATTTGATTCATTATTGGTATTAGAGGGTCAATGCTTTCCCAAAAGAGAGAAGCAAGATGTCAGCATATCTTAAATGAACTCTTGCTAGAGACCTACTCAAGAAACTGCCTCTTGCTGATTGTCTCCTGTGTAGCCTTCTTTTTAGAGGAAAGTTGTAGTGAAGCAGCTCCGGTAATGCCTGGAGTCCTCAGGCTTCTTTGGGCCCATTCCAAACTTGGTTTCACAACTGCTTATGAGATAGTCAGCACCCTGGTTTCATTGGTGGATTATCCTCTCTGGCAATATGCAAAGACCAAGTGTCCATGTTTCAAGTATATTAGCTGCCTTTGAGACTTGGTATATTTGCAGACTACAACAGGGATTCATGGAACTGCTTGAATGGCTTTTTCCTCTGAACGGAAAAAAATACCACCAGAGGGTGATATTGTGCAACTGCTATTCTGCTTGAAGGCTTTCTCATGTGACATGCCACAAGGATCCATTCTGTCACGTTTTATTGAATATGCGTGAGACTGTTGGGAACATGAGGTGTTCCAGCCTGCAGTGCTTTGTGTGCTAATGAGACTGTTCTACAGTACAGCTCCTTTTCATCATATCCAAATGATGTGCACTCTACATTCCCTGTCTAGATGAAATTGGGGCTGTCTGGCTGAAGTTTAACCCAGATGAGACCTTCGTGATGCTGGCTGGCAGAGGGTTGAGTTACAGCCAGAGGAGATGGAAAAGTTGATGTATGTTCCCTTGATTAGAAGGGTTTGGGCCTGCCTTCTGTTAGTGAGCTGTGCATTCTTTCGGTCCTGATGGATCCTCACCTGCTTTTGAATGGATTAGTAGTAACAACAAACAGTGCTTTTTTTTTTTTTTTTTTTTTTTAATCTAAGCATGGCAAAACTACAACTGTTCCTCTCAATGCAAACTTCACAAGCATTACCTGTGCCTTTATCACCTCTAGATTGGATTACTGTTGTGCTGTGCTTGCACCTACATCTGAAGACCTCTCAGAAAACTCACTAATGCAGAATGCAGCTGTCCACTTTTTTTTAGTGGCCTTTCTTGCAATCTTGGCTGCAGTGTTGAGTCTGCATTAGCTTCTGATTTTGCTTTTGGGTGCAATTAAGGTGCTGGTTTTGATTTATAAAATCCTAAGTTTTGGAGTCTGCCTTTGTAGGAAATTCTTATTGTTCAGTCCCAATAGTAGAGACCAGTTGTGTTTAAGCTAACACACCTCCAGATTTTAATAACTGAGCTGATGGCAGGGCATTCACCTGGAATTCGCTCTCCGGCCTGGTCCAACAGAGCTCTCGTCTGCTGTTTTTTTCAGGGCATGCTATAAAGTTCATATTTGCTCAGGCTTTTGCCAGAGGAGGTGGAGTTAGATTTATTTGAGGATGGGGAGGTTTGAATTTTTATCTTTGAATCTTAAGAAAACACTCAGTTTATTTTGCAGTGCAAATCATGTGTTGAATATTGTGCATGCACTTAGGTCTCTCAGCATATATTGCAAATGTCCTAAAATAAAATGTGATCACACAACACTGAGTGAAGTAACCTATTAAGCAAATAGTAGGATAGAAGAGTGTTTTCTTCCCCTGTATTTTTTCATTCAGTAATGCTGTGTAAATACACTAGATTGTATACTGTCTCTTGTGACCCTTTTCCTAAAACCATAACTGCACAGATGTAGTATTTTGAACACCTGAATGTATGTATGTTCCCATGTAAAATGAAGACCCTATTCTTGTAATGTATATATGCAAGGAGAGAACCAAGTTAAGTTTACTGTGGGAATCTTAACTCTGAAATCCCTGGAACACTGTAATTTAAAAAAAAAAAAAAAAAAAAAACCACCATCCTTAATATTGCATTACAACTTATTTTGCATCTTAATATAGGCACATAATCTTTGCTGAATATGTAGTATACATACTCATTCTTCTGAAAGAAAACATTTTGCTAACATTTTGTTCAAATAGCACCAAGAAACTCCAGTCCGCCAGATATTAGCAGTAAATTTCTGGCAAAGCTTCAGGAAGCTTGAATTAAAAATTGAAGCTCTTTCTGTAGCACCTATGTGAAAAATCTTGAAACCCAACTCCTTCTAGTTTCTTGTTTCATTTTTTGGTGTGTGATTTCTTTTTCTGAAGATTTCGTAAAATGAACAAACGCCTGGTTCCCAGAAGACCCCTGAGTGCCTCCTTGGGCCAGCTAAATGAGGTGGGCCTGCCTTCAGCAGCTATCCTCTCGGATGAAGGGGCAGTGGACTTGCCCAGTAGAAAATCCTCTGCCTTGCCGAATGGGATTGTGTCTACGGGCAGCACAGTGACGCAGCTTATCTCCCGAGGGACCGACTCCGGCTATGATTCTGCTCTGAAGCCAGGGAAGATCGACCACCTTAGCAGCAGTGCCCCTGGATCCCCTCCTGACTTGTACGGATCTTCCTAACTATTGTTCGAAGTGTCATTTGTGTAAATGTGTGATGGAGGAAATATAAGGGACAGTAAATCCATTCTAGAAATGAAACAACAATTTTCCTGCCTTGCACCTTTAGTGATTAAAAATGGCGTAGAAAAAAAAGATGCTTTACTTCCTGCTTTTTATAAGGAAAAGTGGTGAGAGCCATCAAAAGATGGAGCTTTGAAATCATACAATGTTTAGACATGTTCAGTATTGAAAGCACATCAAGCTGTATGATGTGGCCTAATCATTATTGATGTCTTCCTTCTACTTTAGGCTGGAGTCTGTCCCCAAGAGCTCTATTTCTGCCTTACCAGTGAACCCCCACCCTGTGCCCCCGAGAGGACCTACAGACCTGCCTCCAATGTCCAAGCAACTCCAAATGGTACCACGAGGGTCACAGTTGTATCCTGCTCAACAGGGAGATGTGTTTTATCAGGATCCTAGAGGATCTGCCCCACCATTTGAGCCATCACCTTATCCACAAGGTAAGAGTGTTGGGGTCAGTTGTTCTCCCCCCACCCCCCATTGGTTCTGTGCCTGTGCTCCCCCACTCACTAGTGATTTATTTAATCTCCTCAAATTTGGGTTTTCCTGTGGGAGCATGAAGGATAAATGCTTAATGTGCTAACAGCATAGTAAGATGGAAGTCCAGCATGGAGAAAAGGTACTTTAGTGGTAGAATTTTCTTTCAGTCTAAGTAATAAATTTCTTTTGCGATAGCATTCAGCCAGTCACATCCAGAGGGGATTTTGTGCCATTAAATGAACGCGCTCTTCTGGTTTTTGTTAAGTTTGCACTCATCCAGCATCATAAGTCTCTTTTGTCACATTAAAAAAGTGGATGAGATGAAGTGAAGATCCCATTTTCCACGATACCTTGTGAACAGTAACTTCCCAGTCAGGATGTTTATAAGATTTCATTGATGTTAAAATATTTTGAGGTACTCAGATGAAAGGTTCATGGCTGCTGCAGAAATGTTTGCACCAGAAAGCGATGAATGTGGACAAGGAGTGGAAGCCATAGGAATAGTTTAGAAAAGAGAACAAAAGGGCAGTTCTGGAGGAGGAAGAGAATGATGGGGATGGTAAGGATAAGAGAAGGAAGTACTCCTTTGAAGAGACGATTCTCATGATTGAACGTGAGTCAGGCTGAGGAGAAATAGAAATAAGGAAGGAGAAATTAGTGTGAGGGGAAAGAGATGGAAGGAGTTCAATATGGTTTTAGAAAGGAAAGAGAAGGAAGAATAAAAGCAGTATACCCAGAGCAACAAATTAAAATGTATAATATTTTACTTCATGTACAAATGGGAAATCTGAGTAATCCACAAAATTTGACAATGACCCCTTTGTTTACATATGGGACACTGTTCTGTAAAGTCCAGATTTTTTCCCCCTCATACCAGTTCCAGTCCTAAAAGGCTCCACCCTCCATTTTAGCCCCAGATATTCCAGCTCTTCCAGCATTGTCAATTAACAGAAAAAGGGAGAATTAACACACACAATTACCCCATGATTGTGGAAAGGCTCTCTCCTGCTGGGGTGCTCTTGTCGAGTTATGGACCCTTAACTGAGTTCAAAGACACATACAGCAGGATAATCCCCACAAAAGGGCAGTCTGCCTCGGGCCCTCCCTTCCTTCCTTCAGGGCGAGGCTACTGAGCAGCAGCCATCTGAGGAGCTCCTGCCTTCAGTCAACCCTTTCTCCAGCGGCTGGGGACTGGAGGTCTGTTCTACTCCCTGGTCAGCCACCAACTGTGCTGCATTTCCCCCTTTTTAAGCTCCTCCCTTCAAAGCTTCTTGAAAAATGTTGCTCAGGCTACTTGTGCCCAGTAGAGTGCTAGTCATTGACTGGCAGGATCTTTCATGTGAACTTGGAGGGACACCTAATGAGTTCCTTCTGCAAAGTTGTGGGAATTATAGTCTTTGGGCCCAGTTGTGGTCTAGGTTGAAGAGAGCAGGCTGCACCTTCTCACCTGTGCTGGACTCAATGTCCAGCTGCTGTGGCTTGTCTCCAGCCATACTGGCTGGTTTGGTTAATTTAAGCATCACTCCCTGGGCTCTAGATCAACCTTTGCATTCTCAAATGTCTTGTGGGTGATTTATAATAACTTTTTCCTATATGAAAATCTATTATTTATAGCACTAAGATGACAGGTGTGTAGTCAAGAAATGACTTACTGATGCCACTTTTCAAGACAGTTGTAGACTGAAATTTCTAAGAATAAATTGTGGTGAACAATTGATATGTCCAATCATGTACTGACTTTTTGTATCCTTGTTACATAAATTCAGGTGTGTACTATCCTCCTCAGTCCTCACAGTGCATGTCTCGTTTTGTCCGACCTCCACCATCTGCTCCTGAACCTGGTGGTCCTTACTTAGACCATTACCCACCCTACCTTCAGGATCGTATGGTGAATTCGCAGTACGGCACACAGCCACAGCAGTATCCTCCCATGGGACAACCTATGTACCAACATTATGAGAGCCGGCGTGTGTACCCCTCTGCCCAACCATACCAGCGGGAAGAGATTGTCCGAGGAAGTCCTGTGCCCATTGACATTCCACATGGAGCTGCACCTCCCTACGTACCTGAATCCAGAGACCGATACCAGCAAATGGAGGGTTATTATCCCGTGGGTCCACATCTCAATCAGATCAGACCATACCACAGAGTACGGTTTTCTATATACTTTTGTAGTTTGCTCAGAGAAAGAATGTTAAGGGAACGTTAATTTTGGGGAACTGGGCACTTTCTGAAGGAGGGGAGATGAAGCACTTTTTAGGAGAATTAAATGCCGAATTCAAGCTTTAATTAGTGGCTCAGGAGTCTATTTTCTCCCCACACATGCACACCTTGTGCCAAATTTTAAAATTTCTGATGGCGACTGATGAAAACTGAGCATTGGTGGTGGTCACTCCTGAAAGAACATAGTGCCATATAAATCATTTCAAGTAAAGAAATGTCATATGTTCACATGAAACGCTTGATGACCCTGACTTTTGTGGCAAAATAAAATTTGAAGATAGTGTCTTAAATCTTTTGATTTCAAGTGTAGTGACATGATTGTGACATGGCTGGAAACTGACATCCTCTCTTTATAAACAGTGCAGATACAGCATGGGCACATGATAATGTGAGATATTCCATGCACTGCCCACTCTTGACCTGGAGAGACTGCCTCCAGAATGGGCCAGGAATTCTGCTTTCATGACCATTCTATACTTAGGCCCTTGACTGAGATTGCCAACTGGAGTATCCATGTGTTATGGTTTTGTGTGGACATCAGTCCAATGGAAACTTGAAAGAGACCAAATTTGCTGCCCATAAACCACTTGATGAAAATAGTCACTCACTACATAGCTAGATTCAAATGAGTGATGTGGGGATTAAGGGCTCTGTATCCCATTATCTGGTCCATGAATGAACTTAAACTTATCAGCTTACCCAGTGTGTAGCTTCATCAAGTCAGAGATTTGATAAACCTGTTCAAGTGGTATAATTCTGTTATAAGATATACAATATCTCCAGATATCCTAATTAACTGAGGTAAGGTTATATCCTGCAGAGTTGTACAGCTACTGTACCCAAGGATGAATGACAGCTTTGGCATTCTTCACCTTGGAATGCACAGACACTTGAAAGCTAACTACTCCACACCACCCAAAAAGGAATGTGGTTTGCAAGACAAATGTTTGGCCCTTTTGTGGGTTGAGGGTCAAAAAAGCTAGAACACACTGCACTAATGGGGGTCTAATCAGTTTTGGCAGCTTGTATATGTTCTGTATTTCTAGGGAAGCTTGCATTATCACCCATGTGAACTCTCTCTGTGACTAAGATGTTGCAGTCTCCAGGACAACTTTAATGAGCACTAAATTCAGGCAAAAGTGTAGAGAAGTATCTTGCAAATAGAATTGCCTTTTTTTCTGCCCCCTTCCCCCCTTTCTTACAATGTGAACTGTGTTCTGGTGTTAGATAGATAGGAGATAGATATTTCTTTTTACCACATTTTTCGTCTTGTAGGGTGGTGATGCTCTACTTTGTGTGTTACGTAAGTTACTCAACAAGTTGTTTATATTAAAACTTTAGGAGCCTTATAACCGACTTCCGCCTCCATCTCAAACCCATCCCAGCCTGGATGAGCTTCATCGTCGAAGGAAGGAAATCATGGCCCAGTTAGAAGAAAGGAAGGTGATCTCCCCACCTCCCTTTGCACCGTCACCAACTTTGACTCACCCCTTCCACCCAGAGGAGGTAAGCATATTTTTAACCAAGCTTTTGGGTTGCTGATATGGTCATAAATTAGTTTAGGGGTGTGATGGGTTCCCCCCAGGGGTGCCTCCTGGAACTGGGGTACCACTGAGCCCGCCTAGGCTTTCTTTACACTGTACTGCTTTGACAGGCCCTCAAGCCCCCTCCAGTGCACATACAGGTAGGGGGACACGCAGCTGCAGCTACACACATGCTGAGATCAGCTCTGCATGGGAAGGCTCAGTTAAGGCTCCTCCCAGTTCCTAAGGCATGCACCCACTCCAACTGCACAGTGTAAGCTCATGAAATTTGCCCCCTCCCTTAATGTTGAAGAAGATATGCAACAGCTTTCTGCCCCCAGTTATGATTTCCAGGTACTGGTTTTAGACAAAACAAAAACAAATTTATTAACTACAAAAGATAGACCTTAAGTGATTTGTAAGGGATAGCAAACAGATCAAAGCAGATTGTTTTTGTTTATTTGCTAGGTAATCTAAGCTTAATATATTAAAGAGATTGGATATGAGCAGCAAATTGTCACCCTAATTGTTGTTTTAGGCAGTTTGCAGAAATTCTTGAGGGCAAGCTGTACTTGCTTGCAGCTTAAAACCCCAGATATTCCTTTCACAGGCTAGAAATCCCTCTAGCCTGGGTTCAGCCCTTCTCCCCTCATGCAGTCTTTGTTCCTCAGGTGTTTCCTGCAATCTTCTTGGGCAGGGAGTCAGTGAAGAACCATGATGATGCCTTAAATATTGTTTGCATATGGCGGGAACCCTTTGTCTCCCCTTTTGGTTCCCACGCCCGGTCAGTGGAAAAACACTGGTATTCCAAGATGGAGTCCAGTACCAAGTGACTTGATCTCATGCCCCTGTAGGGACACAGTAGCCATGACTCGAAGGATGTTTGTAGCATCCTCAGGAAGGCTCTCGGTGGGAGATTAGCCTCTTCTAAGACCTATTGTTCTCCCTAATGGCCCTTGCCTGCCAGCCATCTAGACTGAGTGCATTCTGCCTAGTGGGCGTTCTCCAGGTGTAAACACATTTGTAATAGATGCATAGACAATATTCCTAACTTCAGAAACCAATATGATACATGCATACAAGTAGGATAATCCTATTCAGTAAATCATAACCTTTTCAATGATATCTCATATGACCCATCTTGCATAAAATGCATCAGCTATGCCATACCCATATCTCAATAATATTACTATGAATAATATGGGGTGTAATGCCACAAGGAATATGCAGTGTTAAGAAGTGAGTTTCTTTCACTGATCATGACCTTCTGAAAGGCTAAGATGAGCCTATGGGATAAGAAAGGGTAGATTAACAAGTTAGCACAGTACTGAACAATAATAAATCTCCTAGGATCTTATATTACACATTTTAGGGAGACCTTTGTGCTCCAGTTATGGAGGTCCATATGGTGACATCTGAGGAAGACTGTTCTTGGTTCTCCATCATACCTCTGATCTATCAGTGGTCCTTAGTTACCTATTTATGCAGCCATGAGAGCGATCTTGCTGCTTTAATGTGTGGAGGCACTATTAGATTGTTTTGAATGTCTCTGTTAATGACCGGAATACCATTGCTAGGCTTGGCTTTATTTACACCTGATATGGATAGAATTAAGTAATAAGGCAAGTCTTCAACTAGATCAAGGTCAAAATGTTACCTCTTCTTGCTGTGCACTGAACATTTAATACTGGGAGTCCAGCCAGGTGATTTGAATTTCACAAATAATATGAAATATAAGTTTGCAGCTTCCTATAGTACATCTGGTTGAAGTCCTGCCAGCATCTTGCTTGAAGTGAACTGTGTCACAGGAGTCAACAATGCCTGCGATACGCCTCCTGTCTTTTACTTACAGAACCAGGTTTTTGTTTTTGTACAGTACTCGGATGAAGACCTGAAGGTAGCTGGGAAATACAAAGGAAATGATTATAGCCAGTACTCTCCTTGGTCGTGTGACACCATTGGCTCCTACATTGGAACCAAAGATGCAAAACCCAAAGATGTTGTGGCAGCAGGGAGTGTAGAGATGGCGGTAAGTTGGGATGCAAGAATGCAAAAAAAGTTAAATTGTGAGGGACCTCCTTTATTTATTAGCTAGACTGACTGCAGCATGTGCTTCTTTCTCAGACCAAATGTATCTGACAGTCGGGGATAGTTTTACAGTTGCAGCAAAATGCTCTGTTTTCAAAATGAGAAATTGTTCCAAAGCCACAATATCATTTCTATTTATCTGTTTGTTCTCTCGGTTCTGGGTATAAGTATAAACTAATAGCTCCTATCCGACTTGAAGCCACTTAGTGAGCGAGATACTATGATGTTATGTCATCAGTTTCTCAACACTAATTTGGAGTCCAGAAATTATTTGTAGTGAGTCCTAATTAGTTGGAGCTGCTCACCTTTTGTTTCCTTCACTGAGATGGAAGAAGACCTGAGGTTTTAAAAACATTCTGGGTGCTTTTATGGTCATGGTTCAAGTTAACACTGTTTAGTTGTTTTTTGCTTTGTGGATTAGCTCAGTGACTGTCTTTTTTGGGGTCCAGGACCAAGAGAACACCCCAAATATTTCTCCGAAGTGCTGCAAATGTAACATGATACTGCAGTCTGGTACTGTCCTGAGTGCCTTTCAGCATTTTTCTGATTCCTCTCTCTTACACACAATCCAAAGCTGCTATTGACTGGAATTGCTCTGTTTTAAAGGATATGAGAATTCTTAAAAATTTAATTAAAAACATAATTCCTGTTCCCCTGCACGAGAACTAACTGGCCCAAACAGGCATGCCTCAGTGGTGCTATATTTCTGCAGGACTGATTTTGCCAGGAAGATGCCTGATGGGGTATCACATTTATTGGGAGCCAGTGATTGCAAGGGAAGAAGAATAAGGCATGGATCTTGCAATAACACCACATTTCCACATGACCCCTAGTTAGAAAAACATTCAGAAAGTGCTGAAATTTGTCCTTAGTAAACTTGAAGCAGTCACACACAACCTTAATATGTTTGCTTTTTTGAAAAACGTATATGTATAACTCATCTTCATTGTGACTGTAAATGAAGCAGAAGCCAGTTCTCTTTTTTTTGAGAGGGGGTGGGGGAGGTGGAGGAATGTTCTTTATGAAGAATTCCCGTGTTCCCTCCCCTTTATTGTATATCCCACCTCATTTCTTCACTGTCCTATGTCATGGTGACCTGTCTTAGGACAAAGACAACTGGATGAAACTACTTTTCAGAACTCATCATTCTGTGATATGCTGCTACCAGTATGAATGAGTTCTCATCTATCATCTGGCTACCACCTGTCTGACTGACAGGATTTTCTGACCAGCTCCTCCTCCTCCTCCTCCTCTGCATGCAGGCAGGTTTCCCCAGTTGTTCTCCTGCCTTACTGGAAGCAGCTGCACCTGGTGCTTCACTGCTGAGTTGCCCTCCATCTTTCTGACCTCAGTGGAGCTATGTGGATCAGGGGAAGGCAAAATTGGTTTACTCCCAAAAAAGGAAGGGTAAGAAGCACCATAAATGCCTTTCCCCTACAGCTTTGGGCAGCTGGTCCTTTTTGTTTGTCCTGCACATTCTCACCATGCAGAATTGCCACTGCTAGGTCTGGGAAGTGGCAGGAGGTATTCTAAATGAAGCAATTGCTTTCTACTTCAACAGCCCTCTATGGACTTGGGAGCTGTCCTGCAGGTCCTTCTAAGTTTCTCCCCTGCTTCCCTCCACCACCCAGAAAGACCAGGTCACAGATGGGGGCTGACAAGATATCCTCCACCTTCAGTGCGTCATACAGTCTCATGGGTGGGAGGGAGGGAATTGCTTTTCATCACCACAAAGGAAATTCCTCCATCTGAGCCATATACTGAATAAATAAATAGGGCCTTTGCTGCCTCGCTGCTTTCACCCTTCCACTGAAAAAGCTTGGCAAGAATCTCATCATTGGGTTCAGGTGACCTCCTGAGCCCCTTTTTCTGTTGTCCATTCAAGAGACTTCTTTCCTAGGGGCAGGAAAAGCCTCATCCTTCTCTTCTCTCATAGTCTCTCAAAGAGAGTGAGCTAGAATCAGATCTGAACCATCTTCCTGTACTAAGATCCTTTTTCCTTCCTGAAAAACCATAGTAGGGTCACGCCAGAGGAGTGGGGTTACTTGGTCACTCATGTAATGAAACCTTTATCTCTTTAGAACAGAAATCCTACAGGGATGAGGGGGAGGGGCTCATATTTCCCCCCCAAGGGCAGCCTTGACTTTCAGGACTTGTAGCTACTCCACCCAAAGGTGAACTTACAATTTCCCATTCTGAGTCCAGAGACCTGCCTGAGGACACACTGTGTCGTGTTTTGACACCTGGATAGGAAGGTGAAAAGTGCTGTTAAACAGCTCTTTAGAGTGGGTGCTACTCAAATTACTACTGTAGTTTGTGCCTCCTAAACCTCAAGGGCAGCCATCCGGTGCCTCCCAAAGATACCAGGGGACAAAGCAATTGCCTCCAAACAGCCCTCCTTGTTAGGTAGGACATCTCTAAGTGACTTCTTTTTAATTCTCCGAATGGCATGATTCAAGGTTCTGTGCATTTAGGGGCGAGCATCCTGGCTACTCCCTCCCTGGATCGGTTCCTGGGGCAGCTTACCTTTGTTTCCTCACCACCACTTCAATGGAATTTGGAGAGGCCATTAATTGATGGGGACTTCAGCTGCCAAGTTCCAGAAGGGTTGCCTTTGAAATTTGGAAGGAGGACCACTCACTCCAGTAGGCTGTGCCTTCTCTCCTCCTCACTCTTGTCCCCCACGATTCTCCCTTTTTGTCATAGTATTAGAAACTTGAGGTATTAGAATATCAGGGTTGGAAGGGACCTCAGGAGGTCATCTAGTCCAACCCCCTGCTCAAAGCAGGACCAATTCCCAACTAAATCATCCCAGCCAGGGCTTTGTCAAGCCGGGCCTTAAAAACCTCCAAAGAAGGAGACTCCACCACCTCCCTAGGTAACGCATTCCAGTGCTTCACCACCCTCCTAGTGAAAAAGTTTTTCCTAATATCCAACCTAGACCTCCCCCACTGCAACTTGAGACCATTGCTCCTTGTTCTGTCATCTGCCACCACTGAGAACAGAGCCATCCTCCATCTTAGTTTCTTTGTAGATCTTCCTTATCTAGGTGTGGTCATTGCTTGTTCTGAGTTCTGACTTGACAAAACAGGAAGCCTGTCTGGATGCTGAGAGGAAGGAACCAGGTGCAAAAATCCCATAATGAATAAGCTACCACCTGACAGATACCCTGAGCAAGACTTGTCCATACTGGTGTTGGCACATTCTGGAAGACAAGCAGCAAGGAAAGAGACACTTCATATATTCTGTTACTGCTGTGGTCAACTTTATTTTTCTTTACCTCTTGTCCAGAACATAGATAGTAAAGGCATGCGTGACCAGCGGTTGGACTTACAGAGAAGGGCAGCAGAAGCTGGGGACGATGACCTCATCCCATTTGGTGACCGGCCAACTGTGTCAAGGTTTGGGGCCATCTCGCGTACTTCCAAAACAATGTACCAGAGTTCTGGCCCCATGCAGGCCATGGCGGTACAGGGAGCTTCCACCAAATCTATCAACATTTCAGGTATAACTGCTACACATGGTTATTTTTCTTTTAGCATAGTTTTATTTTTAGTGTGGTAGTATAGTGCAGGTAAAAAATGTCGTAGGAAATGTTTTGTCAGAATCTTCAATGGTACCTGATGCTACCAGGTTCTGATTAATAAATTATGGATGGAAATGCCAGTTGGCCTTGTGTTTCAGTGAGGAAGCCTCCTCCACCTGTTTTTCCTACAAGGGTTACTGTACTTGCAGGGAGCTGGGGAATGCTGATGATGATTTTTTTACCATCTGAAAGTATGCTGTATATGAGAGAGTTCAGGCATAGCATGCCTATGGGAAAAAGCATTTTGGCGGTTAAAGTAATCTTTCTTCCCAGCTATTATGGATATTCTTTGCAAACTATATACCAGTCTATTGGATTATATATGGGATCAGGGCTGGCTCCAGGGTTTTGGCCGCCCCAAGCAGCAGGAGTGAGGGACCGTCCACCAAATTGCTGCCGAATACCTGGACGTGCCGCCCCTCTCCGGAGCGGCCGCCCTAAGCACCTGCTTGCCAGGCTGGTGCCTGGAGCCGGCCCTGTATGGGATAGTTCTGTAACTCAAAGCATTGTAACATGGCATGTGTTATCTGGGTAACTCCTTCTGTTCTTTTGCAGATTACAGTCCGTATGGAACTCATGGCGGCTGGGGAGCTTCTCCATATTCACCCCATCAAAACATACCTTCTCAGGGACGCTTCAGTGACAGGTGGGAATGTCTATCTCAGGCACATGCTCACTCTTTTTGTCTGTACTTATTCTGTTTATAGTAGTTTCTTCATTACCAAACTTAGTAAAGCTATTTTCTTTCCAATCCCTTTCCTGCCCCTCAAAGGGAGAGATTGTCCATGTCAGATGTGGCCAGTCACGGGAAACCCTTGCCGTCAGCTGAGAGGGAGCAGCAGCTCAGGCTGGAACTGCAGCAACTAAACCATCAGATCAGCCAGCAGACGCAGTTACGAGGACTGGAGGTTGGTACCTGTGCCTTGGAAGGGGTATGAGAGAGCAGGAGAGAGATGGAGTTAGCAGGTTTGCTTACTATAAGCCAGAGACTCTTCTCTCATATTGAACGTAGTATGAAAATTGAAATCCATGATACCTGACATCAGGACTTCCCAGCACTTCAGCACAAAGGAAAAACCCTTGACTATTTAGCAGCAGGAACTGAGGACTTGCTTGCTCTTAAATATATTTTTTTAAATTTAATTTGTAGTCTAAAGCTAGCATACCGTGTATGTGTGTTCATGTCTGCTGACTTTTTCTCTCTCGTGGTCTTTTCTGGGCCCAATAATCTGTAAGCAAATAAAGCTCTTGGCTTTTCAGATTTTGAGTTAATCAGACTCTACCTGTAGAAAGTTAAACCCTTTTGTGTGGTGTTTGGCTTTGTGCTGTAGCCCTTTTCTTCCTAAACAGCACAAGCCACAAAACTGAACAAAATAGATGTTAAAGTTTTTTAACTTTAAAAATAAAAGCTCAACTTTGAAGTCTACTTAAAATGAGTGTAATTTCTGCACAGAGGGATGGTATGGGAAGTTTATATTTGTAAAAGGAACAATGAGCAGTATGTGTAGCTTTACTTCATTTTATGGGACCTTGTGGTAGGAGGGAGTTGTAAAACAAAATTAAGGAATTCTTGCTGTAGGAAAGCTTAGTTACTGTACTATTGACCTTTTCTGGAAGGGAAAGCCTTATCTTCCTACAGAAAGGCCTGGTCTACACTACGACTTTAATTCGGATTTAGCTGCGTTAATCCGAATTAACCCTTCACCCGTCCACACTACAGAGCCAGTTAATTCGAATTAAAGGGCACTTAAAATCGATTTCTGTACTCCACCTCGACGAGCGGAGTAGCGCCTAAATCGATTTTGTTAATTCGAATTAGGGTTAGTGTGGCCGCACACCACCGAATTACTGTGGTTAAATTAATGGGGTAGTGTGGCCGCACACCACCGAATTAATGTGGTTAAAAACCGAATTAATGTGCTTAGTGTGGCCGCGCACAATCGAATTTATACAACCTGTTTCCCAAATTCGAATTATCTAAATTCGGATTAATCCCGTAGTGTAGACATACCCAAAGCAATGGAGAACTACTCTAAGGACTTGGCTACGCTTGCAAGTTACAGCGCTGTAAAGCCTTCCCCAGCGCTGTAACTCACTCCCCGTCCACACTGGCAGGGCACTTACAGTGCTGTATCTCCCTGGGTACACCGCTGCAGGTACTCCACATCTCCGAGAGGAATAACAGCTGCAGCAGAGTGGCTACGACCAGGGGTGTGAGTGTAAACGCTTGCAGCGCTGTACTAATCACCTTGTCAAGTGGCCAATCCTCTCCATTGTTGTGACCGGCTGCAGGAATGCAGAAGTGCCGGTTTCAAAGCTCGTACCACAGAGAAAAGCAAACAGTTTGCAGCTTGCTTTGAGTGAGTAAATGAATGAGCAGGGGGCCGGGAGTTCGGAACTTGCAAAATAGAGAGCTGACATGCTCCAAAAAGCACTCTCTCTCCCCCCACCCTCCCTGTCACAATCCATCCCACCTCCACGTTGCAGCCACATGAATGCTGGGATAGCTGCCCATAATGCACCGCTCCCAACACAGCTGCAAATGTTGCAAGTGTGCTAGCAGTGTCAGTGTGGACAGACTGCAGCGCTTTTCCCTACTCAGCTGTATGAAGACAGGTTTACCTCACAGCGCTGTACAGCTGCAAGTGTAGCCAAGGCCTAAGGCACCTCTCCTCTAGTCAGATTGAGATTTCTCTCAGCAAAGATCATTATTTGTTAAGAAGTCTTTGCTCTAGTAAGGGCTTGGTTCCTAAAGCAGGAGTTCTCATTGTGCATTTATTAGGTGTTAATGGCACTCACAATGTCTGAGTGGCAATGACCATTTCAAGAAGCACACGTTTCCCAGTTACTTGAAAAGTGACTTGTTTGTGTTCTTGTGCTCTTATTCAGGAACAAGAGGGAAATTGTATTTAAATGGTGCATGCTTGCCTTTGCTGGTACCTTAATGGAGGAGTGTTGGAAAGTTTCAAAACCTGTACCTGGCTTCTCTCCCCCACGTACCACTATAATTGATCTTGATTGTCTTACATCCTAAATGGTTAGATGTTGAACATTAACTATAAGTTTAAAACCTTGAGAGCAAAGCTGCTGTTCAGGTCACAGGAGCTTTAGCTGTCATGTTTTTCTAGATGCAACTAGTTATTTATAATCCAGGAGGCATTTCCCATTTAAGTACTAGATGGGTAGGTCAAAACTTTGGGTATAAACCAGCCTTGGCCATATACGTTTTACTGTAATGGAGAAGTGTCTGTGCTAACTGTAGACCAGTAATCTGTGATTACTATAAGGAAGGATGGCCTTGCAGTTAAAGTACAGAACTGGGACTCAGTCTTATGCTCTGCTTTTTGGGTTTCCCATTTAATCACTGTGTGATCTTGAGCAAGTCCCTTGATCTCCCTGTGCTTCATCGTTCCGCCACACTTCCTCACATGGGTTGGGGAAGAACTATTCATTGCCTGTACGTACATAGCACCTCCCATCTTAGGATCTTCAAACAATGTTATAAAAGTAGTAATAGTCTAACTACATTTAGTTATATTGTAGGGATTTAGTGATTTCTACTGTAGCAAACCCCTTTGCTTCTTATTCCAAGGACATGGGTTTGCTTATCCTTCAGGAATTTTGGTTGAGCAAACAGTTCACAAAAGAACATTTACACATGGGAATGTATTATGGCTTCATTTGCAAATGAAAAATAAAAATCAGGGCACAACAACCCTTACTATTGTCACAATATTAAAATAACTGCATGTTAAATACTGACATCTTTTTTTAAAAAACAACGCAAAAAAAGACCTTTAACTGGATGTAAGAGAGACACCTTGAAATATTGTTGGAAGTGCTTTCAAAGTCAAGACATTATAACCCATGTAAGGGGAGGGAAGGCTTGGGTTTTGCAACTAGGCAACACTCCTGAATTACAGCCTGGTCCAACTCTGCGCATGGTTTGTTGTGTGCTCAGTTGTGTATGTGCTTGGCTTTATGCATTTAGGCTGTTAATAACAGGCTGCTGTTGCAGAGGGAGGCGACCACCCTGGCAGGCCAGCCACAGCCGCCACCTCATAAATGGCCTGCAATGATCTCAAGTGAACAGCTGAGTATGGAACTGCACCAGGTGGAAAGGGAAATCGGGAAGAGAACCCGTGAGCTGAGCATGGTGAGTGCTGTGGGTGTGGGACGTGGCAAGGTGGAATGTAGAGCTGCTTGGTTGGCTGCAGCACATTAACCCTTGCCAGTAAGGCTCTCTGCTGGAGGACTGCTACCAGTGTTAGTCATTTCCCTGTCACCATTTTATTAGTCAAAACCTCTAGGTTAGTAGTATTTTGTGTCCAGGATTTGAATTCTAATGTGCTTAAAGTATTCAACTTCATTTTTGCAGTCTTTTGAAAACAAAAGTAGGATTAATTTTGTAATTGGGCAGCTAACTACAAACTTAGTATCAAATTGCTGTCCCAGTCTTCCTTTGGTTATAAATGTAGCCTTTCAGCTGACAACACATACTGTGGTGTAACATGCATAAGAATTTTGCCATTCCATTCAGGAGAGGGCCAGTGTTCAGTACTCAGCCTGTGGTGTTAAAGTTCTTGGTCTTTGCTTCACAGTGTACGAATCATTCCTATCTTTTGGAAAATTCTGTATCCTGCATGGATGGACAGATCCTTCTGAATCTGTATTTTCTTGTCTCTTGGCTTTTGTGCGGTGCTTTGTGCAAGTTTTACAGGCATTCTCTTCTGTTCCCATGGAATGAAGCCACAGAATTTCTATATTATGAAACAATATTTTCTGTCCTCTTCTTTCAAAGGAGACCCAGTCTTCACTGGACATGAAAAGCAACCTGGGCACCAATAAACAGACAGAAAATGGACAACTAGAACCACAAAGCAAGGTTCCAGCTGAGGACCTCACACTGACGTTCAGGTAACAGGAGTTTCCATTGGTTCTTAGAGGATAAGTTACTCAGGGCTGTCTCTTTGGAATACAAAGAGCGTCAGATACCTGTTTCTTTTGTATCATTTTTATATTGAGTATACATTTAGTGAAGAATGGAATTATTCAATTTATAGTATTACCATGAATTTGGGGTGATTTCAGCCAAGTGGAGGAATGAAATGAAGGGGTGTGTGTGTGTGTGTGTGTGTGTGTGTGTGTGAACTGTTAACTAGTCCCACATAAAACAAATTATTCTATTCTGGTTTTAATAGCAGGAATATTTTGGGGGCATTAACTGTGAAATGGGGATGTTTATGAAGATACTGAAAATAGGGCAAAATTCTGCTTTTGCGCCTGCACGAAGCTTCCAATGGTGATTGATCTGTGTGTGTCTTGAACTAGGACTGCATCTACACTATAAACAAAAAGCATTGCAATATGCTGTTGGCTGGAATGTTATAGGTCTGCACATCAGCCATCTCAGGAGTTTTACAAGCATTGGTTACAACAGTAGTAAGGTCATTACTTCAGATGTAGTTGAACTAGAAAAGACTACAGTGGCTTCTCTCCACTGTGAACAGAAGGGCACAAGCTTTGCAGTTGTCAGTAAAACTAGTCTGTATTATTTCAGTTAGATAATTTAAATATTGGCTCAGTGGTTGGAAATCAGTGAAGATTTTTAGTTAGCTTCGTGGTCAAGTTAAACACCAGCTATTACAGATTTCTGAATTTTTTTGCACATCGGGTAAGCAGAGGGACAGCTCTCAATCTGTGATGTAATGTTGCTGTATTCACACTTAATTTTCTTTCCAGTGTAATTTAGAAGTTATTCTAAGCTCTACAACTAACTGCAAAAAATAATAAATCGCTAAAATATTAATATTTTTTGCATCCTAACAGACACTCAAATGTCAAGACAGTAGGGTCCTAAATAGCTGATAATAGCACCACTTTGTTGGAGTCTAATGGAGAGAATGTAGAGATAATTTAGCTGTCCAGAGAAATTAGAGACCTTCAGAGTGGTTGAGGTACCATAACTTAAATTCAATGATTAATTTAAATGTAGCCAAACCTCTTGTAGTTTAGCCAGTTAAAATATAAAATGAAGATTTCTTCACAATTTTTTTTTTTTTAGTAGAGTCCTCGCTTTCCCCTTTCTCAGCCCTGCACAATCTGCCCTAGTCTACGTCATGAAACGGAAGCCACTAGAGGGAAGTATTAGTACAATGGCAATTTCCATCTCCGCTATGGAAATAATTAAACAGCCACAAGTATCTCGAAAAACTGTTCTGGAAATTATTTTTGGGGGGGGAGGAGGGGAGAGGCTACATTAAATACTATGTTTATGCAATGTATAATTTGAGTGGTAGTTAATTCTATATGTATTTCATAAAATGGATACTATTGAGTGCTGTTAAAGAAACTGTACAGTTTTTCCTTTATTGTGTTGTTTGTTTTTCCACTATTCTTAATGTATATTTTTTCTGATCTGGTGAGTATTCGTGGAAAAGTAAATAGATTCATTGTACAAGGCAAGCTTGTGCCTATCTCGTGAAATAGTCACAGATGGTCATTGTGACACTGCAGCAACAATAGTCAGGGCCTTGTACAGTTTTTTAAAATCTGTTTATCCTCCTTTTCTCCTTCTGCATCCCTCCTTCCACAGTGATGTTCCAAATGGATCAGTCTTGACGCAAGAGAACATCAGCCTCCTGTCAAACAAGACCACATCTCTGAACCTGTCAGAGGACCCAGAGGGGGGAGGAGACCATCAGGACTCCCAGAGAACAGGAGTTGCACCCACCTCTTCTCCATGAAGTGAGGAAAGCATCCCCCCAGAGTTTCTATTGGGGAGGAGGAGTTGGTAGCTTCCATCACGCTTCCCTCTAAAGGTGGTCAGAGAAATGCAGGAGCAGCAGCAGCAGGAGGTCCGGAGGCAATGTGCACAAACACCACTACTAGAAACAAACCCTGCACATAGTTCACATTAATGCGTTTTTTAATTAAAAAAAAATTAGCAGTATCTGCAAGCAATTCAGATTAAATTTGTTTTTGTTCTGTGAATGAACTTTATTTTAATAACTTCGGACGCCTTGGATCCAGGGCTTTAAAAAAAAGATATTATATATATATACTCTGTTTGATTAATTGTATGATCTTAATGAAGTAGGTTTTTTCTTTTACTTTGGTATTATTACATACCCAGTGTATAATTCCTTACCACCTCCACTCCCTTTCACCTCAGAACAACGTTGGCCGCCTCCTTGTATGAATTTAAAGGTGAATGAGGGACATAGGATGGAGGGAGGCTATGAATTGCAGTGTCAGAAAACATGCAGCAAACATCAGTAGGTTTTTAAAATGAATTTCTTGTAACTAGGAGTTCTCTTCAACGCCTACAATACCTTTCTACTTATACCCATTGGCTTTTAGCCACAGTTGATGCAATCGTCTCAGCTCAGTGAAAGCATTCCATAATATTCATCCCACTGCAGCATGTATCCCCAAGGCTATTCTTTAAGCAGTAGCAAAAAGAGTGGTGTATGCACATTACATTTATTTAACTAGGAACTGATATGACATTGTATTTTGTGGTTGGGATTAGAGTTCAGTAAAGGACAGAGGGCCTCAACTAGTTGAGACCTGTATGTTTCAGACTTCCAGGAGAAATTGAAGAAATTAGTTGTCTGGTGCCTGAGCTGCTTGGCCAACCAGCAGTTGTCACTGAGCAACATGACAGAGGCACCAAAAAGTTTCCATCCCTTGCAATAGGAAGGTAAAAAGAGAGCGAGAACACAGATTTTAAGGAAGGAAAATAACTGAGAACTAGCTTGCAAAGACCCTTTTTCATCAGCCGCTATTTAGAAAGATGGAAGTTTCCTTTGTTAGGGCATAGGAAGATAGCCTTTTATAAAGGGTCTCTTTTTTTTGTAGCCCAGCCTCTTCCAATCATGATAGCATCTAGGATTGCTTCAGAAAGGGCATGGACTACCTGTTATGGACCCGATCCAAAGCCCACTGAAATCAGTCAGTAAAGACACTTCCATTGACTTCTGAGCTTTGGAACAGGCCTTCCATTTGCGTTTTTTTTTTTAACTATTTCAATTATAGCTTTTTTGCCCTTACTGCTAATTACTGAGCTGCTTGTGTATAAATATAAGTCTTCTACTTTTATAATCTGCCATCTCTGGCCTGCAATTTGTTTGTGGTGTCAGTGAAGGCTTCTCATGGGAAGAGGAAGAGAACTTTCGTTTACATGCACAAAACTTGGCAATTAGCAAAAGTAGAGGAGGGCAAGTGTAGAAGTAATAGTAATGCTTGGTACGATCCATGCATACCAGAATTGGACAGCAATGACTGGAAATCCAGCTGCTGCTCTTTAGCTTTGTCTGTCATTGCTGCATGGAATCCTTTCAGAAGCCAGCATTTCTTCTCTGTCGGAGAAAAGTTACATCCAGAAATGCCACTTCAGGTCCAACAGCGATCCTGCCAGAAGCATTTGGAATACTTGAAAGCCAGGATTTTTTTGTGACCTATGTCATTTGCTCAGTCTCCCAATGGAGGTGGGTAGGTGGAGATGACACCTGAATGGAAGCGGGTTTAAGAAGTCACAAGCCTTTCAGTTCTGTGTGGTATCATTCCACTGAGAAGTTCCTCTTAACAGGCAGAGAAATCTTTGAGGATTTGCTCTTGCTGCATGTATTTTGACCCTTTCTGCCTGCACTGAACTGAGCCCCTCTGAATAGAAAACTCAGTGGAGAAGAGTGTGTTCAGTGTTGCTCCCTCCATGCCCGTGTGGCCTGCTTTTTGTTTTTTCTTTCTGGATTAGACTACTAAATCAGAAAGCACTGGTTATGTAATAAATTTATTGCATTGCTTTGGTTGGGTAAAAGCAAGAGTTAATACTTTTCTTGTTTAGTTGTCTCTTAACCCTTAACTCCTGCTGAGGTCGTAGGAACCTTGGACTAAGCTTTGCATCCATTATACTGTTAATTTAAACAAAATGGGGGAGGGGGTAGATACAGTCCCACTATTGCCTACCAGTAGAGTGTCCAAACAGAAGACTCTTTTGAGTAGCGATTATTTAATTTGCCCAGTCAAGGCACCGCATTTATATACTATTTCACATTGAATTTGATTATGCCCTACAGACCTGGCTGGTCAAGGATTTGATACACATATTGGCTTGGGATTCGAGCTTTCTTTTTTATTTAAATAAAAATTTATATATATAAATGTATATATATATACATATATACATAGTTATATCTGTATATATATTGGGTATGTTTTAAGAATTTTTTCACATGAGCGCAGCTGTTCTGATCAAATGTCTGATTGGGAGGTAGAAGCACGGAACGAAGATAAAGCATTTTCAGCTCACAGCCACACTCTTCGTGCATTCGTGCACGTTTATTTCACTCTTAGCTTAACTTTGGCCTCAGAATTGCTGAAGAAAGCAGTTTTGAGGCTTGTTTTTTTCCCTTGATTGTGAGGAAGACTCTTCTCTGCCCTGGATTCTCACCAGCTGCACTAATTCTTCCACTCACACATGTTTACACCCTGCACCCTTCCTTGATCGTGGCCTCCATCCTTCCAGTTTAAGAGGACTGGGCTGACTTTGCTGAGAGATTATTTCTGTTCCATCCTTCTCCCTGTTAGGGTGGGCTCAGTGTGCTGTCTTGACAGCATGCTGGTGAGTGAGCTGATTCAGGTACCCATGCTGTGGTCTCTACTCCTGAAGTGAAGATCACCACCACCAGGTCAGCTTTGACTTCGTTATTTTTAAGAAACTTTTTTTTCTGCTGTGTTTATATTAACACAAGCTCATTTTAGTCAAGATAATTTAGTGCAGTATTCTAACCTAGGAGGGCAAGTGCAGAATGCCAGATTTTCTACTTTTGACTAGAAAAATCTTCTTTACATAAAATAATTAAAATTACCAAAAAATTTGCATGCTATGGCACATTCTCCTCCACCGTAGGAAGAAAATCTGGAGGGAGCAAAAAAATTATGGCCCATTATCTGTTGTGCCAACTAATTGCATTTCCAGTTGAGAACTGACCCTCTTTTCTCTAAGCCTAGGGAAAGAAAAATTCTACAGTAAGAACTGTTCAGATCACTACACGTAGGTCAGCAAGGCTAAATGCTCCTAAACCCATGGATTAGAAAGAGTACCTTTAATGTTGTGTTTTCCCCTGTTTGTGCTGTACTTTTTGTGCATAGTGTCCTTGTTGTGATCAGTCTCTCCAGGTGAATGCCCTGTTTGCTCAACATTGTAGTTTGGCTTGTTAACTAGTCTGTTTAATATGTGCAAACCTTATTGATTTTGGCTTTGTTTCCTTTTTCTCCTGCTCTTACCCTTTCCCTATGTTTCTGTGGAGAAGTTTAGGTGATAAAACTAGGGAAATAGGGAACCAGAAAAAGGCTTTGTTTTCACGAAGACAGTACCTGAAATCCACTTTCTGTGGAAAAATCCTGCCAGCAGAGCTGAGAACCCATCACTCTTCAGGTGCAAGGACTGATTGTTAAAACAGATGACCTAAATTCCCATGAACGAGCTATGTTTACTGCTTCACTCATTTCTGTGTCCTATCCCTGTCCCTATTACATCAGGACATTGTCCATTTCTGTTAAATGAAACTGCTACATCCTGGCTTGGTCCCATCTACTCCAGCAAGAACAGTGTTAGACTTTACTGTTGGGGCACTATCATGTTGTATGGCAAGTAGGGTAGATTTGCTGGTGTAGATCAAACCTTTGAGTGCTTGTTGCTAGCAGAGTTTCAACCATAATGTGCACAGAGCCCTAAAAATGAGACACTTCAAACAGCAGGCTAGTCTTCACAATGTCAGACACAAATAGTTGACCCACTAGGAGTATAAACAATTTCATTTTTCCTGTAGTATCATGGGTTTTTTTCCTTCTTACATGTGCCCCAGTTCCCCTATCTTAATGGTAGAATTATATATGCTTATCTTCTAGCCGTTTGTAGGCTGCCTTGCCCCATTTCAAAATATAAATCCTGTGGATCTGAGCACCTTTCATACATGTAGTGCTGTTACCACTTTAACCTCAAATTCTTCAGCTGTCTCGGTTCTACTGACCCGTGTTATCTCCCTCTGGTCCACCTCTCTGGCTTGTCCATCATCCTCCCTGATCATGCAACAGTGACAGCTTGCTGCCTCAAAACAGAGCATTCAAATGAATTCGCTTAGCCAATAACTTCTGTGAAGTTGCCTTTTCTAATGGTGTTATTACTCAGTGATGCACAAATATGATATTGCCCCTACTGGTAGGCAAACAGGGGGTCTGTATAAACATGGTAAACTGCTGTTTTTCTTTAAAGGAGAGCCAAAGACTTGTGCTTTACTTTTTTTTCCACCCTTTTTCCCCCAGGATAGCCGTTTTGATAGTCAAATCTTTGTAGAATTTTGTGAGTTGACTGTATTCTCCTGGTAGCAGTTTGCACAGTTAATGATTGTCAAGCCTTAAACATATGTTAAATGGTGGCATCAGTTCATCTAGTTACACAATTTGAAAAGGGTGTGTTTAAGCACCTAATATATTTTGGAGTCTTCTAACTTGTTCTTTCATCCACTCCCATGCACTCTCTCAGCTAATTTACAGGTAGCAGAGAAGGCACTTAGAAGTTTACATAGTTAAAAAAGCCATGTTTATAAACATTATTGCTGATTAACCTGTTGGATTTTGCTGGTTTAAAATTAAAATTTCTAAAAACTAGTTTGCTGCAAATGTGAATCTTTGCTGACTTCTAAGGAAGTCCAGTGAGACTGACAAGACTCCTGTCCAGCTATACCATTGCTTTAAATCAAATACAGTACAAATACTTCATGCAAGGACATTGTTGCCTACTGATAAGTATTTAATATCTGTGACAAACTCACTGAACTGCAAAGTAGAAGAATTGGGCTTTTGAGTTTGACATACAGTAAAGCCTTTTTTTTAACTACTTTCCATGGGGTCACTTAAATCTCTTGCAGATTATGCTTTTGAAATTCAGAGGGGAATACCTAAACAGTAAAAGTCATCAGAAAATCCTCCGCTTCTTGCTGTTTCCATTCACAAAAGTGTGGAGCTTTTAAAAAATATTCTGACAGCCACAGGTCAGTGATAAGTACCAACCCTCAGGACAGCTTTTTGAAGAGGGAGCACTTTGTCAAGAAGCTATCTTCAGTCAAAGATTGACTAGAACTTTAATAAAAAAAACCAAGAAATTCAGTGCTAAAAATGAGAGCGTTGAATAGCAGTGCTGCCAGCTAGCCTCCTCTGTTTAACAAATGGAAAACCAATCCATGCAAAAGCTGTTTGAGTGTGGAGAAGTACATAGAGTAGTTTACATGAGCAGGCAGAATAACTGGCATGACTTCACCTCCATAACCATCCGTTATATTGATTTCCTTCTCCTCCCCTTGTCTATAAACATGTACACTTTCTGCCCCATCTCCTAATATTGGCAGTATTGACAGTGATT